CGTGACTAAATCGTTCAGCTTTGTAATGTTCATTGTGTGGATCCAGTTGGCTGGAATTACTGGAGACAGTTTGCTTCTCGGAAGCATGAAATATTCTACTCCACAATGGAAAGACTTGCTGGACAGATTCATACTACTGAAATGTAGACATTTCAAGATTTGATCATAGCAATATATCTCCTTCTGAGCACAGATCACAGCAGACTGGCCTGTCCTCTCTTTTTAAAAAAGGTCTGGGTTCTGTAGGAGTTCTTCAGAAATCCCTTAAATGCTATTTATCTCCCCCTCAACCAGAGTGTTAAAACAGGTATCTGAAGGATCATATGAGAAAACCTTTCCTATGTATAAAACTCCTCCTTTCTGAGATAGCAATGCTAATGACTGATCTTTGGAATCACTGGATGTTTGTATTATATTTTGTCTTCCCTTAAAGCAGTTCGTTTTGGTAACAGGTGGTCAGGAAGCCATAGGATGTGCATGTCATAGATGGTGAGAGCCCTTGTATGAGCTCTTTAATGAAACCAAGGTGGAAAGTCGCCCTAATTTTTATGTAATGTATTTTTACTTAAATTAGGTTTTTCATCTGTTTGTATTTCCTTTAAAACAGTATTTAAGTACTTGTGACACTAAGACACATACTCTGTACACGTCTTAGAAAGTTCTCATTCTGCATTGCTGGAATTAAACCAGTTAAGATATGCCCTGAGGTTGCACATTTTCTGTCAAGAGAGGTTTAAAGAACAGACCTTCTTACAATGGATATTTCTAACTAGGTTGCTGCTAACCAGATCAAGCTGTGTTGTGATGTGGCAAAAAATAGACTCACTCATATGAGTGACAACATATTTTTCTAGTGCACAAGCAGCCATTGCTGCTGCTTTGAGAAATGTTCTCACAATAGAAAGGCAGATATTTAGCACATGAACAGCAGTATTTTCTCAGTGTTGTTCAATAGTGGAAGTGTCCTATTCTTATTTTAGTAGGTTTGTTTGAAAAGGACTCTGAGGGCAGAGGAGTCATCAAATACACTTTAGGTTTTTTTAATTCTCTGGAATACATGTCAGTAGAGTCTTCATTGATTAATGAAATGATTCATTGGCTTAGCTTAAGTTTTACAGACTACCTTGTGGATACATAAGCTTTATATGGAGCTCTGTTTAGATATACAATTGATTTACTGATTTACATGAGTCCTTAAGCTCAGTTCGAATTGTGAGACATTAATTCACCAATGAAGAATAATGATTAAGCAAGTGATCTTTTGACATCATAGTTGGGAAGAGGTTCTGAGAGGAAAAATGAAATTAGATGAATGATCTGATAGTAGAAGCTAAATTGCCTTTCAACACACTGCAGGTGTGATCTGAAAGAAGTTGTTTGAGTCAGCTCAGTGCCTTCCTGGTATACTTTCAAAATGATTGATCATAGTATGCTATAGTCAATGAAATGACATTGGCAGATTGAGAAATATTTAATAGTATGTGTAAAGAAGTCTTCTTTGGACAAAAGAAATTTATCAGTACGACACATGCAGCTTTTGTTCCCTAGTCTGTCTTGAAAGCTGCTTGTGAGGGATTCACAATACTGATGGCAGATTGTAATAAGTGAAGATCACTTTTTTTCCCCTGCTTTTATTGGCTTGCTCAGGAAAATACATTTGAACAGTAAATAATAGCTTGGTTGGTACATGTAATCCATATAGCCTCTTGACTGATGGCTCTGCTGCTTCAAATTGACTTGAACTGTCAGCTACTAAAGGATTTGAATTACTGAGGAGTTCTAGGAACCATTATGTTTCTTTTAAGAAGTATTATGTGAGTCTGAGGTATAAGTGATGGCCTGGATTTCTTACAGTTTCAAGAACAACAGGGAAGATGGGACTTTAGAAAGCTCACCCTGGATATGGGAGAAGTACACTATGAAATGGGCTGACCACTGTTCCTAGCACATGATGCTACTGCTTCCAAGTAGTGATAAAGCTGCGGAAGTTGATAATGCAGTTTATCACTTTGAAAGCTTTTCTGATTATGATTTAGCAGCCACAATGATTCTGTATATTGAAAAGGAGGCATTTCAAAGAAAGATACCATAAAGACTCTGGCTTTAAATGTTTCCCTAACTTTTAAGACCCATCTCCTATCTCAATGGTGCTGGTATCTGCCAATAGTATAGTGTCACCTACAAGCACTCATGCAGTGTTTGAATGGCTTGAAATACATGCCCTTTGCACCATGCAGCTAAATTTCTGCATGGTTCATACTGCTACCATATGAGATCAAATACTGCACCACTGAAGCCTTTCTGCACTTCACAAATGTGACCCCTGCTGTGTGAGGAATGCTAAGTTTCCTCTTCCTTTAAAGGAAAAGAGGCCATATCTAACTGAGTTTGTCCATCCAAGTTTCCATGGTTTCTCACATAAGAAAAAGGTCATCACTGCTGGGATGAAGTATAGCTAATCTGAAATGAATCCACCTCATAGTATCCCAAAAAATTCCTTCTGTACTCTTACCAAGTCTTTGTCTTCAGCTTTTTTTTTATTGAGACTCTGGATTCTTAACTGTTTGTGCCAAGGTGCCTGCATAATTCACAGGGCCACAAATGAAGTAAACATGCATAAGTGTAATAAATTTAATTTATCTACTGTGCATGGAATGATCTATGTTCTGTCTTTAAACTAGCAGTGATGATGGATTGTTTTTTATTTGCTTATGCATAAAGGAGATTTTACATTGCTGTATGAAAAACTAATTGCTTTCTTTGTATTACCAAATGTAGTGTACTCATTTTATCATTGTCTTATTTGTCTGACCTCCCTCCACAGTCATGGAATGTACTCCTGTTAAATAGAGTTTGGTTTGTACTTCTCTAATACCTCACACAAGAAAATTTGGCCTTCCCACCCACTCAGAGTTGTCCAGCTCACTATAGACCTTGGACAAGTCTCTTTGTTTCTGCATTCTCTGTCTACAAAGTAGGAATAATCATGATGCATTGCTTTTGACTGGTAAAATGCTTTGAACTTCTCAGGAAGAATGGGTTGTAAAAGAGTCTAAGCATTCCTTCCTTCTTCCATGAACAGTAAATCAGCAACTGCCATTGAGCTGGGTTACTATATATACACTTTTCAGGAATCCTTCCAGAATCCCTCCGTTTCCCCTCTATTGTGTTTCAAGAAATGTGCAACTCATCTAGATTAGGCAATTGGGAAGCATCCCTTTCTATAGTCTGTTAACACCACTTCTGCAAAAAAGACTATATGATAATATTTCTCTCTAAGGGAAATTACAATGATATTTCTACCAATGTCTCTTTCTTTCAGAGCACAGATTTTCCTGTAGCTAGCTCTGGGTGACTATTTTTTGTTGGAATAGCTAGTAGTGGAATAGCTAGTAATTTCTAGTGTGCCTACAGTCTGCAGGAGTTTTAAAGTCTGTTCTTGACATATCCTCAATTTTCTGCTGTGACTCTGAAGTCAATGGGAGTCTTTCCAGTAAGCGTTCTATGGTTGGCTTGTTGAGATAGTGACCAGTAAGCAGTCTTACTCTGAATACGAAAGATGTAACGCAGAACTGATCTTAACAATGATGTATTTTCCTAGGTGTATGTTGAGGAGATGATGGGGTTTGTTAGTGTTGGAGGGGCAGGATTGTTTTGGGAGAATTTATAAATGCAAATATTTTGGTTGTTTTGTCTCCCTGTTACGCGATTCAGAAAAATATGAATTTTAAGAGATTTCTTTTTCTGTACTTTGCTTTCATTTGTATGAAACAATAAGTTGGCATATAATAGCCAAAATGGAATCCAGACTGTTTTATTCAGGGAAGCATTTTTAGTGGCTACATTTGCTTACCTAGGTTTCACTTGAGAAGTGAAAATTTCTAAGCTGGGCAAGAAACTATGAAAGCTCAAAGGTAATGGTGGTGTTTGTGTTAGACAAGACACAGTTCAGTGAGATGCAGTGTGCACCTTCATTGTCTGAATGTTAGCAAGCAAAATTGACACCATATGTGCCCAACTGTAATTGCTCCAAGAGGGGAAAAGAGAAACATGTCAGAACATTTGAGTAACACCTAATTCAGCCCATGGTTATAAATAAAGCTGATGGTTGCTTAAAAACAAAAGTAGGAAAATATTATGGTTATATTATTCCTCAACAGCGCTTCCTACATAGGTGAACTTTATTACAGAGACAACACAAGTGAAAAGAAACATATAACAACTTTTTATGGTATTTTTATGTTATTTTATTTTTTTCGCAGTAAATAAAGTGGTTATGAGGCTCCAAGGAAAACGGCCCAGATGTTAGTGAGTTGTATGAAATTTAGTGGAAACAAGCTGTAAAAAACATAGTCATAAAACAGCCTGTCAATGCCACACATCTGGACAATGCAGCTGTATGTTCCCGCTGCTGTCATCACCCTAAGAAAACTCAATAGCCTTATTTCACCCCAATTAGGCTGCATACCAATGGAATCAGAATTACACAGGGAGGGGGTATATTTTCACCAAGACAGACCCTCTAAAATTCCCTTCAAGAAGTTTTTATCTTTCATTCAGGTCTAGTGCCTCAGACACTAGTCACTTTGTAAACAGTACTCCAAACTATTCCCCTTGATTTGCTATCTGTTAAATGCCTTTTAATTAATTACTTTATTATAAATAGTTGATTAATGTTGCTTCTTTGTTTAAAACTTTAAAAAAAAGACATTTTACTGAGAGAACTGTATGTCTGTTGACCCTTACATAAATCACAGAAGTTTTCTCCATTCTAGTTTTATCTCATACTATAGCAGATATAACTTCATTTGAGGTCTTGGGAACTAAAGAATAGCTATGCATTTTACTGATATGTTGTTTTTCTGAAAGTGTGGCCATTTTGACCCACACATTGTACAATGCGAGATAGCATTTCCTCATTTCAGCATGCAAAATATGTGTGAAATCCATTATTAAAGTTTTATAAGTAATAGTTATTTTGGGGTTCTTTTTCTCTGCAGGTGATAGAAGTAGCCAAAGCCATTCTGGATAGTGGTGAAGACATTCCTGTAACACTAACTGGAAAGCTGTTGAAATTTCAACTGCTTTGTCTCAAACAGAAGGACCTTCAGAGAAGGGAAGCTGAAAAGAAGGTACTGTAGTATGCCTTAGGGAGGATGCTTAATTAACTTTATGAAGGCACTTGCATTCTAGTGCTGTTTGCATAAATTCAGCTTTCTCCTCATGCTTAACTTCCTAGCTCTCTAACTGAAGAGAAATGTGAATAAAATTTATATTTTTAAGTTAATTAGATTTTGGAGAAGAAGCTCTCAATTACTCAAATGCAGGTGAGACAGGGGAAAAAAAAGAAAGGAAAAAATATTGTGCAAGAACTCTTTGCTAGAGTAATCAGTAGTAATGTCTTAGCTGAGTCTTGGAACTAATAGAAAAGAGAACTAAAAGCTGGCTTCAGCTGAGTATATCTGCTGAAGTAAAGGTAGCAGAGGTTACTACTTCAGAGGTATCAAGGATAGATGCAGAGCAGCACTATGAAGTTATTATCATGAACCACTTCTCTGGAGGAAATTTGGAGAAGTTATCTATTCCATTCTCTGGCACTAAGGCAGGATAAAATATACATAAACTCTTCCTGGCAGATGTTTGTTGAACCTGTTCTTAAAACCTTCCACTGCTGTGCTTTCATTTTTCTATGGCAATTAGTATTACTGCCTAACTATCTCTGCAACATTGCCATTTGGAAAAGGTTTCTAACCTTATCAAACCTGCTCTAATATAAACCCATTACTGCTTCGCTTCTCACTGTGTATAGGGACAACAGTTCTTACCCTCCATTCTGCAGAAATCTATTACATATTTAACTAAACAAACCCAAATATATGTCATGGTTTATAGTTTTTATTATGCTTGTTCCTCTCCTGAACTCTCTCCAGATAGTTCATATCTTGAAGTCTGCTTCTCAGAACTGGGTACCACATTTTCCAGTGTTTCCAGAACTCACTTCCATGTACTCTCCAAGATCATCACTAGTAGCTCCAAGATTGCCTCAGTCAGATTGCTTGTGTGTTCTAGGAGGTATTTCACCAAGCTTGCACAGAATCACAATCAGATCAGACCTCTAATTGCTTTCTAACATCTGTAATTAAAATAGAAGTTGTCGGTATATTTCAACAATTTACTCAACAGTTGGTCTTTGCTATAGTCCTTTTCCAGCAAACATTCATGCAGCTGAAGACCATTACCAGAAAGTCACATAATTGCTGCAGTAGTTTACCCTGTTAATTGATCAAAAATTATAATGTAAAATGTGATGACATGGAGACCTAAACAGTCTATGCATGTAAAAGATGCAAGAAGAAAATGGTTTTGTGGATTTTGGATAGTTGAAAAGTCTATAAATTTCTTTATCTATAATTCTATTTGTGGGAATAATTGGTGGATGAAGTATAGCACACAAGCACAAGAACATTAAATGCTAGGTGAGAGATAAAAGTTGTGTCCTGTTCCCATAGAAGTCAATTACAAAATTAATAAGCAAATGATAATGTAAGCCATAGAAATATATAAAGAATCTGAGGAAAAAAAAAAGTGTTTTCAATCTGAAGAAAAATTGAGAGGCTGAAGATGTAGAGCAGGTTTTTTGTAATGAATGGAGAGAAAAAGATTTTTCTGTTAGGTATCAGTCAGTGCTGATAAGTAAACTATAAAACAAAAATTTGAAGTTTAAAGATTAGGTGCTTCAATATTAAAATGGAGCCTTTAGCTTTGATTTGGCAAGATTACTCTTGTAAGTATAATTTTATTTCCCTGGAGAATCTGAGGATAGTCAGTATTGAAGGCTGAAGAATCTCTGGAACTTAGAATTTCTTCCCTGTTTTAGCCAAGCAATCCAGACAAAGTTGTCAGCTCCTCTGGATTATATCTGTATCAAAGCATGGCAGGCAAACATGAGAGCAGCAGTTGAGTCACAAAGACAGAGTCAAGAACTGGGAGGGCTCTTGGCTATGAGGATGCTCGGCAGTACAGAAAGGGCAGAAACTGTCTTTTAATTTAGAATTCTAACTCTGAATTGTCTGCCATAAATTTTTTAATCCTTTCCAACTAGCTTGTACAGTACAAATTCCATTGCCAACAACTTGGGGGTTGAAACCAGGATTTTACTAGCAGATCAGTTCTCAGAAAGCCAACATAACTGTCCATTGTTTTTTAGAATAGACATCAATTAATAGAATGGATTGACAGAAGAAAAGCAGAAAGTGAATAAAAAAAAATAAACCATTATGAAATTTCTGTATTTCAGTAGGAGCAGAAGCCTGTCATAAATTGGCAGGTGTATGCATTAAAACTAATATGCAGAAGAGAAGAAGTGTCTCTGAATTAGAAAAATGTTTGAGGTAGTAAGATTCTGAAATATGAAGCTTAAAATAGCAGAATTACAGAATCTAAAGCTAATGGAAGATTAGAAACTCCACAAAAAGCTGCATCTTGTAGGGAAAGAGAAATATGACATTGAGGGGAAAATGAAGGAGACCTAGACAGGAGAGAGGCTTTTAACTTCCTAAGGTCAACTAGTGTTCTTCGTTGGAATCTTGGCAAATTCAGAAATGTCTCTGCTTATTTTTATTAATTACATAATGATGCGGATGCAATAGATAAAGCTGATTGTGAACTTTGTAGCCTGATGATTGTATCATCTGTTTTGATGTGTTCATCAGCTTAGAATCAAAGCAGTACTATGAAAATCTTTGGTTTGAAATGTCCAAAGTGGAATAGATTTGAAAGAAAATAATGAAAGCATCCAAATTCCCGCATTTCACAGCACAAATAGTTTTAAGAATCTCTTGAAGGCATTTCTAAACTTTACAGAAAGGAAACACATGAAGAAGGGAAAGCAGGAAAAGATTTTCTGCTTTGGTTTTGAATTTGAACTAAACACAACTTCTACATCTGGAAAGTCTGCTTTTCCAGCTGAATCTAAGGAAAGCAACTGTGTAGAGTCAACTGCCCTATCTCATTTGCATGGAGAGCTTTTCTAATTTCTTTAATAGCCTTTAAAGTGACACCAGCAGGATGGTAACAGTAAGTTAAGTTAATATTGGTTTGTTGTATTTAATTTAGCTTTAAAATCCTTAAATGTCATTCTTGCATGGTTAATGCATAGTTCTGCTGCTGGGTAGAAATAAGGTGGAGGTTTTCTTGCTCTTGCAGCACCTTGCTTTACCTTAATATAATTTTGATTATTTTAATTTTAGACTGGCTCTGAGCTTTCTGAATTTATAGTGTGAGGCTTTGGGATACTTACAAAATCTTTTTTCATTCTTTACTCTTAAATTACCAAGCAGAACTTAATGTAGGTGTTTTTGTTTGAAAATAATGAGAACGGCTGAGTAATATCCTGTGTGAAATGAGCACAAGACTCTCAGTTCTAGTTTATGGTAGACAGATACTTACATCAAAGAAAAATAGTGCTGGTACCATTTTACACCATACTCAAGAGTGTTAACAGAGATGCTAAAGACTTAACAGAAATTTAATTTTTGTCTTATTTTCCTTCAGTCCAGGGAAGGTTTCTGGCTGATGCAAGTGCTGTAGTGGCAGTAACTAAAGCATAGTGATTCTTTACTTGTCTTTCTACCAGTATGCGTTTCATTAGTTTTGTAGGTATAACGTCTACCTACCTCTCACAGTTCCTTTTTAGTGTGACATCTTAACACTATGATTTAGTAAGAATATAATAAACTGAATGGTGTGTTTGAGAAGGATAAAGCAGAGTGTTCAAGACAGCTTCACCATATCAACATTATGGTGGCTGAGAGGGAAAAGTATTCAAATAAAAAAAATTGAACCACTAAAATTTTACAGCAGTCTGCCCTTTGTTGCACAAAGGCTACAATGAGAACTTAGTTTGTTCATTTTGTCAGGCAGAAGAAGAGCAACAAAAGGAAAAAGATGGAGGGAA